AAAAATACCTGCACGCGCGCGCGCGCGCGCGCGCACACACCATCAATATATGTATATGCATAGCAAATTAAAATATTTTACCTAAAGATGGATCGTATAATCCACCCTTTAATGGATGTCCAAGAATGTTAAAAGATAATGATGTTATGATTTTCGTTACACTCAAATTCCTTACATCGTTTGCAGTAAAAACTGAGAATATTAAACGTAGGGAATCTCGATGTTTTGGTGTTAAACGTTGTTTATGATGGTATTTACTAGTCATCTTAATATTCCTTTAGCTTGAGTAAGTCTATAAAAAATATTAATCAGGTACAACAGGTATAAGAATAATCGACGTGTAGTCATTATGTCCTAGATTTGATTCCAATTCTCATCCCATATATGTGCCTTGATTCATAAAAATTTGATGGAAAAGTAAAAAATTGTTGGTAAGAAAAGTATAAAGTTGACATACTTTATTTTGGAAATAACAAAAATATGTAGTATAATAATAACTATTTTTTTAATAATAAAGTATTAATATAAAAGAATATGTAAGTGCTATTTAACGGTATTTATATTTTAGTGTATTTATATATTAGATAATTCCCTAATGAAAAATCTCCTTATTAATTTTAGCAAAAGTTATTGTACATTTCGTGTGACTAAAAAAAAGTCAAATTGCTGCTTTGAAATATAATGACATATTTGGTCCTTTGCTCCATAATGGAAATTTCTATGTTCCACATTGGTTTATGTCGCTTTCAAGACAATTATGATGTAATTTAACTCTTCATCGACAACGTGAAATTTTTAATTTTGGTCCACAAAATGAGGCTTTAAAGACTACAATGAATTTTTTTATTAATCCAGATTATATGTGAAAATTCTTGTATACTTGTGAAAGCTTTAACGAGTTTTTACCATAATAGAGAGAAGTCGGATTACATTTTACTTATTCTTTACAAATTTAAATATAAATGAGAATTTGGAAAAAGTGCGATATCAGTTAAAAATTTATAATTTTTATATGAATGAATGAAAAAAATTTTTTATGCTATAGTTGAAAGTACTTTGAAAAAAATAATAAAACACATTATGTTGGCTTGAAAAAGTTGAATTATATAAACACCTAAATCGAATGATGATTCTTATGAGTAAAAAATATCAGTTTCTTTTTTCAAGAAAAATACAATAAAATTACTTTTGTAGTAAATCAATTATTAGATTTCATTTATTTTGATCAAAATGTGTATAAACAAAAATATTACATATCACAATCTATACAATAATACTACTGTACTTCTGTGTAATATACTGTACTTCTCGCTATCAAATGTCCACGTAAATCACAGCAATACTTTTGCGTTTCTCTATAATTTATAATTTATCTAACATTTCTGGAAGAATTTCTTCTTCAATTTCGAATATTTCACGGATTATGTATTACTATTTAATACATCTTTATAAATGTTCATTTTGCAATGTTAGTAAAACAAATTATACCAAGCAAGTGAGTTTTGAAAGTAAGTTTTACATACTCATTGAAATTAGCATGAAAAACATAAAACATAAATAAAATCCAAAATGTTTTATGATTTTGCCTGGATCTACAATAAATGTTTTAAGCTTTAAGTCGTAAAAAATTGATCAACTATAATTGAATGCCAAGAGAACAGTTGATTGCGATTCGTCCATTCCTCATGGCTTAAGGCTTAAAAATCAATAGTAGATCCGAAGTTAGGGCTATTCCACAACTGCATAGTCATATAACATATGAGGCATAAGAAATTGAACCAATCCGAGTTCTTTATTTCATGGAAAGAAAGGAAACGGAGGACTTGAATTGGTATATGCTTTTCTTATGCATTATGTGTTATGCATTATGCAAGAGTCTGTGCTCCCTACTTATATTTATACAATTTGCATAGCCACATAACGTATGCATAAAGAAAATTATCCAATCACATTTTACGTGCGTCCTTATAGGAGAAATGCAATTGGATAATTTTCTTTATGCGTACGATTATGCGACTGCAAGTTATGTGAATATATCCTAAAGCGGGGAACACAGACTCTTGTGTAACGCATAAAACATGAGGCATAAGAAAATAAACTAATCAGTCTTTTATTTTATGGAGAGAAAGGAAATAAAGGACTTTAATTGGTTCATTTTCTCATGCATTATGTGTTATGCGTTATATAAGTCTGTGCTGCTCGTCTAAGACCACTGGGTCAATGAACATCTTATGCAAATCAATATGGCATCTCTTTGTCGGATGATCATTGGTCTAGAAGTCTTGTGCTATGCGTATGCACTTTATGTTATTTTGTGTACGGTAATCATAGCCCTTAAAGTTGATGACTATTGAGGTTAGGAAATCTGTCACATCGACTTAACGCAGCGCTATGTATATACGTACTTTGATCAGTATTTATTTAGAATCGTTATCTCACCTTCGATTTTAATGAAATTAGGCTCATTTAATTTGACCCGTTTTCACTGAAAATAAATGCCTTCTCTGCTCCTATTATGTACAAAAAGTAGTAAACTCGTGTGGAATCGCTCATGGGTTTATAACTTGCTACGCGAAGCGCGGTTCCATATAGGTTTTGAAGTTTGCACGCAAAACGAGATTTAATTAAAAGTTGATTTTGGTTTTAGGAGGAGGAAGAAAGAACACTCTTCGCACATATTTGTACGTATGTACACTGGCCGACAGAAAGAGGTACCTTTACACATTTAAGATGGATGCGTTTCGGAACACAGTTCGATTGTGTTCTGAAACGCATCCCTCTTGAATGAATAAAAGCATTTCTGCAGGCCAGTGCACTACAAATGCTTCAAAACATTTTTTGATTGGTTAATTAGTAATAGTCTTTTTTCCGATTGATCAATCAAGAATTAAGGAAGCATTTAAAAGCGCCAAAGAAGAGAAGCAAGTGGACCGCACCTTACATAATTTCTAGAAGTTTTGCAGAGTAAAGAATAGTCTATAATAAACTGCAAACATTCAGGCTACTTTCACATACAGCGTAACTTGCGTGAGTGTAACTTATGTCAGCCAATCCAATCGTCTCAACTAGAATAATGCGTTATGGCTGCGTTCCCATTTCGTTTCAGTGCAGTATTCAGTAGCCACCATTTTGCTGGATACTGTATTAGAGAAGCGTTTCCAAATGACTGGATACTGCACTGAAACGAATTTGTTATGGGAATTATTCATTCACGGGAATGTTTGTGCACATGCGTATTGCCGATGCGATATAAAAGTAGCCAATACGAAACTGTAACGGCAGCTTACGCATGCGCTCGAACATTTCCATGTGGAAATAATTCCTACGACAACGCATCACTGATGTGTAGTAGCTGATACAATTTGATATGATTTGATTGGTTGACGTAAGTGATGTTACATGTGAAAGCAGTGTTCGTCGCCAGTCGCAATGTTTCGTAACAGCCAATCAGAAGTACCAATAGTAATTAGTGATTAGTGTAATTAGTGAATTGGCTGCCGTGAAGCCAGTCTGCGACAGTGTGTTGGCAACTAATTAGGTTTACTATTAGTTCCTCTTTTTTCTTCCTAGAGAGAAAAAAAGGATGAACTGATGCAAAAGTTATAGCCAAAAAGAACAGAGCCATTGTAGACTATGCTTTAAGCCGATTTAAGAACAAATGCCTAGTTTACATTGTACACTTGATACTTGATAAGGTAATTAATTAATACGTGTATCAAATGATCGATATATATTGAGTCATCTAAAAAGTATCCGCGGTTTTTTGTCACTAGATGTGTATTGATGGTCATATATCTAGTGACAAAGTACCGCGGATACTTTTTAGATGACCCAATAAAAGGGGTCGTAGAATTATTGACTAGTGCAACAACTTCCGCTACGGTAGCAAGAGTTGTCGCATAATGGCTCCTGCACACAGAGCGCGGCAAAATGAGAGCACGGTAACCAATGAACATACTAGGGGCTGTAAGCTTATTGGCTACCGCATCACATTTTGTAGCTCGACAAGCGTTTTTGCGTCCAATGTGCAGAAGCTATTAAAAACATAGAATAATTGGTTAATACAATAACTTCCGCTGCGTGGCAAGCGTTGCCACGTTCTATGTGCAGAAGACATAAGTCCGGTTCTACCTACAATAGATGTTTTAAGTCTTAAGCCATAAGAAATTGACCAATTACAGTGGAATGTGAGAAGAATAATTGATTGTTATTCGTCGATTCCTTATGACTTAAAGTTGCATTTTCTTGCTGACACTTGACGCTCGATTCGAGCATTAAATCAGATCACATGATCAAAATTGATGAATACCAAAAAATAATTTTGACCACGTGATTTGTTTTTACGCTGAAAATGAGCGTCGAGCGTCAGCACAAAAAAGCAGCATAATAACTTCGACACATCAGCGCGATATTCGTCGCGCGTGACACGCAATATCCAATGAGAGTATACCTTTAGAATGAAAACATCGATAAAACTGTACACTCATTGGATATCGCGTGTCGCGCGCGACGAACTTCGCGCTGGTTTGTCGGAGACATAAGGATTAAAAATCTATTGTAGATCCGGGCAAAGTATGGATATACCATAATAATCAATGAAATGTTAAGCCTGCGACACACTAGCATGCTTGTTTTTTGCTGTTAGATCGCTAGCTGGATTAGAATCTTGCTACCGTATTGGCTGCGGTGCTGTCAGTGCCAGTATCATAGCCAATATGGTGGCAAGATTCTAATCCAGCTGAGTATCAATTATGAAACTTTATCCCTAGGATGATGAAAAGTGAAAATTTTAACCATTGGAGTTAATGAAGAAATTTTTCATTTTTCACTTTTCTTCCTAGAAAAAAAGTTTCATAGATAGCTGCGTCGGTAATGTAGATCTGAGGCGTCGGAGTGCTCTTATATTATAGCATATGTCACGTGTATTGTAGAAAAAGAACACTCCAACGCCTCAGATTTGCATTGCTGAATGCAGCTATTGATACCCAGCTAGCAAACAAGTATCATGTACCGCAGGTTTTTAATTAATTTAAGCGCGTAAAGTAGCATAGCGTGTAGTACCAGTGTTTACATGACTTCCGAGAATAATTGTTTCAATATCAAAGTATTCGAGTAAAACAAACTTAAGCAAACTGCTAGTAGTCATTTGTAATTGTCTAAAATTTGTGCTAACAATGTCAAAAAAGATGGTGTTTGGTCAAAAGAATATCCAATCTACGATAGTAGGATTTTTGGCAAAAAATACAAATGAAAACAATATGCTGACTAGGTAGACAAAAGTTTATTTTATTTTGTAAAAATGCCCTAAATAAAATATATGTGCGCATCTCAATATATTTAAATTTTCATTAGTATATGTTTCGTATTTTTAATACTTAAAAAAAAAAACTTAAATTAGTAATTGAATATTTTTTAGTACATCAAAATCAGTGGCAGAAAAGAAAGTTTTAAATAATGAATGGTCGAATGATTTGTATTTTAATGAACAAAGGAGAGTAGCTGGGGACTTGGTAACAATAGACACGATAATAAATCTTGTAAGATTATAGTTCTAATTGAATTTAAATAAAACTACAATATTATTATGTCAATTTATGCATGTATTTTATGAAATTATGATTTACAAAACATTAATGATTTATTACAAAATAATTTGATTTCAATATTTTGAACTGCAGGATAATTCAGATAGTTCAGACTCGTGCAAAAGCCCACTTAAAAAAATGCCTAAAAATACAGAAGATAAGCATTTATGGACTCCAAAAAAATGTGACACAATATCCATTAAAGAAAGAAAAAATATTATAATTTCAGATTCTGATACAGACAGTACTAATTGTAACTCTCCTAGCTCTAAATATAATGGCGAGAGATTACAGAGAAATAATTGGGTTGGTCCTGATATTAGATTGAATTTGAAAGATTTAGGTTTAAATAAGCAATTAGGCTCATGGATTGAATTGGTTCAACAGAAATCAGTAATGTCTACAGTTCCTGTAAGTTTTATATTGTGAATTGATATTTTATGTAAAATGTTTAAATTCAAGGTAATTGTTATTTCTCTTTCTTTGGACATTATATTTAGATTACAGAAGACAAGTTGCTCGAAAGACGTGAAGATTTAAAGGAACTTCAAATTGAAGTTCTTGATAAATTTTGTGTTGCGCTCGAGTCAATTCCATTACCAATATTAGAACAATTTCCAAAATTCGATGCTGACTCTTTCAAAAAGTTGCAAGGTTTGCATCGACATATAAAAGCTAAATTACGCTTAGTGCAAACCAAATTATCAAAGTTGCAAAAGGAAGATGAAAGGAATGTATTCGAATCTCCAGAAACACCTAGGTCTGCATCGTCAATATCAATTAAGACACCAATTTCGTGCATGTCCGAGAGTCGCTTGATAAATGACTGTGATGGTTTTACTTCATGTACCTCAGTATCCAAAACGATAGATTTTCAAGATTTAACAAATGCAAAGGAGTATGATTTAGCATCCAATAATTTGGAAGCTGTGTCAGCAGTTAAGCCACCTGAAATTATACCTCCAAATAAGAAGAGTACTTTCCAATTAAAAAGACCTGTCAAAACAGTATTAGGCATTCAAGTTTCTAAAACGATAGCAGAAATGTGGGAAAAAGACCAACAAGTATCAAAGACAATGAATTCTTCAGTGGATTCCGATTGTATCTCCATAAAAGATACACTTAATGACAGTATTTCAACGCCATCAAGTAGTGAAAAAGATGGATTTACACAAAGAAATGCCATCTTGGATAATTCGGAAGATAACAAGATTAATACAAATAAATCACAAGATATGACAGGTAACGAATAAATCATTAATCTTTTCTTCTTTTAGTTTTCAATGAGAAAATATTTTATAGGCACCCAAAGATTTACTGCAAAAGTTGAAACCTTAACACAAGAATTAGATCAATTTCCAGCTTTAGGAGAAAATTGTAATATAGATATAAACGACGATTTTACAGGTACGAGCTTTATATATACAAGATGTTTCATTTTTTTTTTTTTAAGGAAGGAGGTTGTACCTCTTATTTTCATTTTTGCACTAAAAATTCATTTTTATGTAAAAATAAAAAAAAATTTTATTATAATGTTTTGAAAAGTTCTCGAGATAAGCTACAAAAATATGTGATGAAAAATGAGGGGTTCCATTTAAAAAATTCAAAGTGACCTTGCTCTGACCTCGATGTCACCCAAGGTCAAATGAATGATACCCTCTCATGTTCCCCTCGAAGTCGAAAAACTTTCGTCTGAAACATTTTTCGATTTAATGCAGTGTTTCCGAGATATTTCCGTGGATTCTTTAAAATGGGATACCCTATGTGTATGTGTGGGCGCGCGCGCACACACACACGCACACGCACACATACAAAAAGTGCGCGTGTGTGTATACTTTTTTATTTCACATTTTATTGTACATGTTGATAATATGATAAATAATAATTCCAATAATTTATAGATTGGCCATTGAGTAATGTAGCACAAAATAGCAATTATCACACTAGTGATAAAACAAAATCAAAAATCGAAAAAAAGAGTGTGGAATATGGACAATTTACTGGTAATTATAAAAATGATGGTATCAGTGGAGAATTTGATAGTTTAACATATTCACATTCACAAGAAATGTTAAAGGTACGTAAAGTATATTTGGTAATTTTTATTTTTATAACTTTATTAAAGAATAAATATAATGTCATTTCGTAATAATTAATTCATACAGTCGGACACATATTAGATCAATAATGAAAATACAGTTATAATTGCACATTAATTATCTTTATTTTAGATATTTCGACAAAGATTTGGTTTATATACTTTTAGGCCAAATCAATTGCAAGCTATCAATGCGACACTTTTGGGATTTGATTGCTTTATATTAATGCCGACTGGCGGTGGAAAATCTCTTTGTTATCAACTTCCTGCCCTTTTAAATGTTGGATTAACTATTGTTATCTCACCATTAAAAAGTCTTATTTTAGATCAAGTTCAAAAACTTATCTCACTTGATGTAAGAGAAAGTATTATTATCAGAGTTGACAAATAACGCGTTACCTGTAATGTCGTTACTTTTCTTCGATACTTTGTTATAACAATTTGGTAATGACGAATTTTTTTTATGACTAACATCAGATTTGGAAATTAACTCGGCATTTATAACAAGTTATTCTTTACTCGTTACAAATTACTCTTTTTTTTCAGTAAGTAAACACATAATAAGTAATAAATTACTTTTTAAAGTGACTTTTCCAATCTTAGTGTTTAATTAATTATCGTTACAGTCATAAAAAATTGCCAATATCAAATCGTTATTATGAAAAATAATGATAAAAATTATAACGGCGTTACTTTACTTATCATCCCTGATTATTACGTATTAGATACGTAATAAGGGAAATAATCTAATGTAAAAACATATAATATAAAAAGAATACTCATTTACATTACAGAAATGTATATGCTACAATATATATTCTTTACTTTTGATTTAAAATTATAGATTCCTGCAGCTCATTTATCTGGCTCTATAACAGATAATCAAGCAGAGGCGATATACAGGGAACTTTCCAAAAAAGAACCAGCTCTCAAAATATTATATGTAACACCAGAAAAAATTTCCGCCTCGCAAAAATTTTGTAATACTCTGACTATTTTGTATGAGAGAGAATTATTGACAAGATTTGTTATTGATGAAGCACATTGCGTTAGTCAATGGGGTCACGATTTTAGACCAGACTATAAAAAATTAAAGTGTCTCAGGAACAATTATCCCAAAGTGCCAACAATGGCTCTAACTGCAACAGCCACACCGCGTGTTAGAACAGATATTTTGCATCAGTTGGGCATGACTAATCCAAAATGGTATATTTGATTGTGTATGTATATGTGTGTGTGTGTATGCGTGTGATTGTATAATTTTTGTTTGCATATGTTGCTCTATATTAAAAAGAATTCAGCATTGGAAAATGTTATTTTTCCGTTATTTTGACGTTACTTTTTATAATAAACATTTTGATAATGACATTGCATACATGACATATTTTTTACGACGCTAAGGTTGTACTAAGGTCGGAAAAGTCACTTTGAAAAGTAACTTGTTACCATTATTTTACTATTGAAAAAAGTAATATATAACGAGTCACAAATAAAAAAGTAATGCATATTACAAATTAGGAGTTATTTTTTTCAGTTACGAATGATTTTTTTCAATCAATTACAAGTAACGAAGTTGACTTTTTCAATTTTGGTGCATTTTTTCTGGTTTATCATTACCGTTATAAAAAAATTTGTAATGTCATTACCAAATCATTATAACAAGCAAGTAACGATCAGCAAAGTAATGACGTTACTTCTCATCTGTGAAAAAGATTAATGATTACATTTTTTAGGTTTATGTCGAGTTTCAATAGACCTAATTTGAGATACAGTATAATATCGAAGAAAGGGAAAAATTGTTCTGATGAAATCGTAGCTATGATAATGACAAAATTTAAAAATACTTGCGGCATCGTATATTGTTTATCGCGTAAGGATTGCGAAGATTACGCTGCACATATGAAAAAAAATGGTATTAAAGTATTGAGTTATCATGCAGGACTCTCAGATACTCAAAGAAGCAACTGCCAAGGAAAATGGATTTCCGATGAAGTACATTTGTTATACTACGTACAACAAAAAATATACGTACATGCTCGTATGCGCGTGCATATACACTGATATAATGTATAAAATTATATCGTGAAATGTGTAATTATAAAAATATAAAATATTAAGTGTGTATGTGCGTGTAAACATATGTTTATGTGCGTGCATTGTATTTTTAATAAAATTATTAGGTGTTGGAATTAATTCGTAGCGTTTTACAAGTGATGGGAAGTACTTTCATTAATGTATTTTTTAATGCTCATGTGAAATAAATAACATTCTTTCATTAAAAAACGCTACGAATTAATTCCAACACCTAATACATGTTTATATACTTTCTTCAGGTACATGTTATATGTGCAACTATAGCCTTTGGAATGGGTATCGATAAACCAAACGTGCGCTTTGTAATACATGCAGCTTTACCAAAATCTATAGAAAGCTATTATCAGGAAAGTGGTCGCGCTGGTCGTGATGGTGAAATAGCAGATTGCATTTTATTTTATCATTATGCAGACATGCACAGAATCAGAAAAATGTTTGAACAGGATAATCCAAATCCACAAGTCATTAGTACACACATGGATAATTTATTTAAGATGGTAGCATTTTGTGAAAACCGTACAGACTGCCGTAGGTCGTTACAGCTTAATTATTTTGGAGAGATATTTGATAGGCAACAATGCATCTCGAATAAAATAGCTACGTGTGATAATTGCAGGTCTAAGGTATGTCATATGGATAAATAATTATCACAGCAAAAATATAGTTATCTAAATGGAATTGGTATTAATTAATAATTTTAGGCCGAGATTACAATGTTGGACGTTACTGAAGATGCAAAAGAGATTATGAAAGCTGTACGAGATATTAACAATAGAAAGAATTGCAAACTTACATTAGTATTCTTAACAGATATTTTTAAGGGTAGTGATCTGAAAAAGATTAGAGAATCAGGTTTATACTTATATATATATATATATATATATATATATATATATAATCATAAAAAATAAATTGATATTTATATTAATGATACAACTAAATAATTCTTTTTACAGGTCTTACAAACCATCCTTTATATGGTCGTGGTAAATCATGGAATAAAAATGACATAGAACGTCTTTTGCATTATATGGTACTGCAAGAATATTTACAAGAAAATATGTATATTAATAACGAAATTGCTTGTGCATACGTAAAAATTGGACCAAAAGCGAGTGAACTCATGACAAAAAAAGATGTAAAGGTATTTAGTCTTAATAGGATATCTAAAATGTAAAATGTATAATTAAAAGTTTATATGTCATCATTTTCGATATTAATATCCAAGTCATATACATGTTTATATGTATATATTACATACCGCAGAAAATTCGTACTGTTTTTTCCCCTATAAACTTATCTTGAAAAACCGACACAAGTTTTTCGCGGTACTTAATACACACACACACACGCACACACACACACACATTAGCATATATATATACATTTTTTTTGTTTATTGTGTCTTTTTATTGTTTTTATCTTGCAAAGGTACAAATCCCAACGAGACAATCGAATAAATCTACTAGTGGTGTAGCTACAGTTTCAACAGTTACAAAGAAAGTTGATGGTATTATAAAAGAATTACAAGATCGTTGCTATGCCGAGTTGATGACGATAATACGAGGTATCGCTAGTGCATTGGATGTTTCTGCTTCTTCTATTATGAATATGGTAGCTGTCAGAGCTATGAGCCAGCGTTTACCAGAAACCGAAGAATCCATGTTACAAATACCACACGTCACTAAGGCTAACTTTGTTAAATATGGCAAAGCTCTTTTAAACATTACGCAGAAATACGCGAAAGAAAAAACTGGTATGATACTCGCATATAATTAGTGTAAAGTAATATTTTATTGATTATTCTATTATTATTATTTTTTTTTTTAGAATTGCTGAATGTAAATGATGAAGATAAGAATAGTGATGATAATGATAGCACCTGGGATGACAATGATTCTAATTACTCTTACAGCAATAATACTAGCATTGGCAAGAAACGAAAGATAAGCAATAGATCTAATAGTACTAATAAAAAATATAAACGAGGTGGTTTCAGGTAATGTAAAAATAAATATGCATGCGCATGTTACTTTTCTCGTTATATACAACATACATAATGATTATATATATTAATTATTAAAAAATACATGCACATATATGTTTTAGAAAGAATTTTATACAGGTTTTATACATAATTATATAATATTTTTACATTTGTGCAGTGCAAGAAGGGGAAAATGTTCATCAAGAAGCTCATCAAAAAGTTCAACAAAATATAACACTACTACAAAAAAGACAGTAGGACTTGCAAGTTTCAGTCAAAGTAAACAATATCTGGCAAATCCTAACAGATATATGAATATTGTTTGATTAATTCTTTCAATTACAAATTATTTACGGCATTTGCAATAGTATACATCACACAATTCTTGTACATATGTTGGGAGAGGTGAGAATCGTATGACCACGTTGTGTTTAATCAGAAGTCTCTTACAGTACTCGGCTTGTGGAAAGATTCTAGGCATCGGTTGTTATGAGTAGCTGTAGTCGATCGCAACATGGAGGACACTCCCTCTTGGGATAGATGATATCCGAAATTTTCTGTATGGCATTTTAGACATTTTATTGAACGAATTTGAAGCATTGTAAATTCATTTTTGTATCCAAGTAATCACCAAACATGTATATGAAATAAATCTTTCGTAATAAAATATTTTTTAAGACATGTAATTTTGTTAAACATTGGACAAATTATATAAATATAGTTTCATCAGTGTCTAATTAAAATAAATATATATGCAATAATATGTATAGAATAACCTAAAAATTTATTACAAATGATGTTTTCAATAATTCTTTATTGCTTATGACTTGTACTTAAAATTAATACAGATTTATATTCAAAGTCTAGATTATTATATACTAAGTATTTATTAAGTATACATTAGGTTAGGTTCTTTTAACATTTGCTACATAGAGTGCATTCCGATATTCACCGTCCTAGAGTCCCTAGAGGACACTGCGCCAGTGCTTAAACTAATATATAGTATACATTATGTGGACTGTAGACTTTCTTCAGTAACTGTGAATATCAAAACGTATCCATAATATATTATTTATAAATCTGGTTGCATTATCCCAGCTTGTCGGTCTTCATTCTGAATATGATTTTTCAGCAAGTCCATCACTTCATTATCAAATTCAGGTGGAGTTGGTTTGACACCAGTTGCCCAATAAAATATATCCCAATCGTTGGATGGTAAATTTATAAGTTGATCATATAATCTTAATTGTTTATCATCAAACGTATTCAAATATTTGTTTGCAAAGGTACTAAGAAGTATACCATTCTCCAACATGCCACGTTTACGAGATTGATATGTCAATCTAAATTGACAATGGAAAAAAATAGAATGAGTCTCGTCACGAGTGTAACAAAATAATTTATTTGTAAATTAATTGTAAATGTATTCGTATAAATAATGATTATCATGACAAAGTATGATATTAAATCTTAATTCAGTTATATATTACAGTTTTATTATAGATTGTAAAATACATCATAACACGCACAATACAAACAAGATCTCGAAAAAAGTATGTTATGTTGCCGATTCTGCAATGAGTCAATAGTTGGAAATCTTGTCTTAACTAGTTTTAACCTAAATAGGTGATTATGTTTTTTCACATCTACACTAGTCGTTAGTTATATAGAGAATCGTTTAGCTCGACTAATAGGAAGGAATAAAGTCAAATTTGATCAGTCTTAAGAAAATTGGTAGTCTTACAATTAGTCAGTGGTTGGCCAACTTCACCAATTCACCGATAAGACTTAGGATTACTATCGATTCATTGTAGAATCAACTAGTATCTTTGGATTATCGGTAAAACTATTAGATTGTAAAAAAATTTTCAATGATACCGTGCTCGTTTGAGATTGGCATTTTCTCCTTCTCGTTTCACGTAACGTGGAATATCAGGCTCTTGACCTTCCGGATGAATTAACTTGTTATCTTGAAAATTGTCTTTTCGCTTACAACAACATACTGACACATCTCTCGTAAGTATAAGCGATCCGATCTGTTAGAGAGGGATAGAGAACTTTATTATTTATATAGAGATTATTTATTTAAGCATGTGTGTGTGTGTGTGTGTGTAATTATATATTTAATACAAAAACTGTATCCGTTTTCAAGATTAAGATTTATATATTTAATATTAAGAATTGCGTTAATTGATAACCAGTGTTGACTTCTATCGCCTGTACTTTATGTTATTATCATATACCAGCTTGATCAAAAAGTTTCCGGAAGAGACCACCAGGTGATGTTCTGAGTCAGCTGATTTGAGTTCTTTTTTTTGGCTAGGTTGCCACATCTATCATTGACATTTCCATCAAATTTTATCGCCATAGCTTGACATTTGTAAAAATTACGCCGTCTTGAGTACATCTACCTCTGCGCGTGTTTTCGATTTTTTACAGTTTTAAAAATGGAGTTGAATTTGCAACAACGAGTTTGCAACAACGAATACCATCCAACAGCCATCGAATTCACCCGATATGGCTACCTGCGATTTTTTGTGTTCGATCGAGTCAAAAAACCTGCGAGGAACGCGTTTTAACAGCCGAAAGGAGGTAATGGAAAAATCGAAGACGGCTCTGATGGCTATACCAATAATAGAGTTCCAGAAATGTTTCGAGAGCTGGATCAAGCGCTGGCATAAGTGCGTTGCAGTCGCTGGAGAGTACTTTGAAGGGGACAATATCACTTTTGATGAATAAACTTGTATTTTGAATTTTCTGAATGAATTCCGGAAACTTTTTGATCAAGCTAGTATTTCTAAGTTGTTCAATTAAAGGAGTCTATAAAAATTATTAGTTTTGTGTTAGTTTGTAATTCAATATCCACGAGTGTGCTTATTCAATATCTCCAAACTTACGCGAGATGTAACACGACCGTACACAACATTCATTATCGAATGAATCGTGGAAATCGTGCAAATGCGACAAATATAACCTTACAATTACAGAATAAAAAGTAGAGTCGTATATATAAGAGAAGCGACATTCATCTCCACTACCATCTCTAGCATATGTTCAGCACCGTCATGTTTGCCCCGCGCTCCAGTTGACTACAGTTCCATCATACTCCAATGGGTGCATTCAGTACTGCGACAGCCAATATGAAGCGTTGATTTTAAAATACAAGCTTCAGATTGGCTGTCACAATAAACTTGCGATCAGCTTGCAATTAATATAGAACCGGGTTTACGCATATTATAGAATTTCAGAGATAAAAGCGCACTTTTATCGATAAAAGCGCATTCTGAACGGAGTTATGGGTTATGTAAGAACCTGTGTTCCCCGCTTAAGAATACAAGGGTTGGCTGAAGCATTCACGTAGCAATGGTAGCAATGGTAGCATTCGAAATAATAGATGTTTTCCATTTGATGACACAAGTCGACACAAGCGTCATTCTATCCTCGTTGACATTCAGAGAATGACAAAGATAAAACAATACTTGTGTCATCAAATGGAAAGTACCCAATAATGGACTAATCGGAGCGTAACGTTCAGAATATTTGGAAGAAGCAAGTGGACCGTAGCTTCAGTCAGCTCTTTCATTTGATTGGATTATTCTATTAAATCCTAAAATATGGATGAAAGAGCTCCAATCAGATGAAAGAGCTCCCTGAGCGGAGCTCAGTGTGCAGTTGCGCATCTGGATGAACCCTATAGATCAATGGTTTCATCAGCTGATAATGACAAGCCGACTATTGACATCGGTGTGCCAAAGTTGAAGGCTTGTGAGTCACAACACATGATAGCATCCAACAACAAATCTGAAATTCTCACCATAATTTGATGGCACGTACAATAACGAGTATGCTAAACGAGCTGTTTGCTTTTACAGCTTCCGAGTAGACAACGATAAAACAATTGCGTTTATATATTCAAAGTCGGGCTTCGAGTGTAAAAAGATTAGTGCAAACCAGTTGTTCAAAAGTATGTTACCGCGTGATTATTGAAACATACGAGTTCGCTCGCATCATCCGTTCTCGATGTTGTCAGCGACACATTTAGTTCGTATGTGCCATTTGGAAGTAACACATCGTCACTGTAGCTCGTTGGCGAGACATGCTCGAAAGTCATCTAAACATTTAATTACCTCAAATCTTTATCACCTGCGATAACGAGCTTTTTAAACGGAATGTGTGATATGACTTGATTATCACCAGCTCCTTCCAGACCACAAATGGGAAAGTAATGGACTGCGATAGAAGCATGCATGTATATGTATTCTTATTCTGCCTTTTTCTTTTCTCTCTTTCCTTTCCTTCTCTTTCTTTCCTTCCTATCTCTTTTCTCTTCTCTCTTCTCTTCTCTTCTCTTCCTTCATTCTTTATTTTTCTTTTTTTTTCTTTCAAATCTTGACTATGTAATATATTGTAATAAAAATAATTTTTTCTTGCAGATGGAACATAGAAAGAATCATTATATGCTGGAATATTCTTTAAATAACATGCCATGTGTAGATGTTTATAGATATATTATAAATTGAATGAATAAGAAAATGATAGTCTTGTCCTTCTATTGATAAACTTCTAACAAATATCAGGTGTGTGTGTGTGTGTGTGTGGAAAAAATTTCGAAAGAGAGAGGTCTTTTTTATAATATATAATTATTTATATTGTTTTGCTTTTATATAGATCATTACAATGGATGTTGGCATCGTCAAAATTGCAGAAGATAAAGATTTTGAGAAACTGAAGCAGCTGTATGACGATAATAACAATTGGAAATTAGATTATAACAAGCCTGATTTATCTGTTTGGACAAAATCCGTCCCAGGAATTAGTTTTAAAATGGTGAAAGTAAGTTCTTCTTTCAGCAAATAAATTTTACTTTTCGAATGAGATTGACTGACTTAATATTATAGATTAGAACACGTTTCCCTGATGTTTCACCAGAAACACTGTACGATGTTCTACATGACCCTGAGTATAGAAAAATTTGGGACACTCATATGATTGAATCAAAAGATATAGGGTTTTTTAATCCAAACAATGATATTGGATATTATTCCAGCAAGTATTACGTTATTTATGAATCTTAGAATTTTAATGTTTACATCTCGCTTTATTGTTAGTATACAAATTTTAGTGGCATGTCCATCTCCGTTAAAAAATAGAGACTTTGTCCTTCAACGATCTTGGCTGGATACTGGTATAGAACAGTTAATATTGAATCATTCTGTTTATCATAAAGATTATCCACCTAGAAAACACTTTATACGAGCAACATCTTACCTCACAGGTA